GTGTGTGTGTGTGTGTGTGTGTGTGTGTGTGTGTGTGTGTGTGTGTGTGTGTGTGTGTGTATGTGTGTGTGTGTGTGTGCGCGCGCACATGCACTTGGATGCATGTGTCTCTGACACATGGGCATGTGTGTGTGTGTGAAAACATTTCTTTCTTGTTTTGGTTTCGTTCTCTTTTTTTTTCTGTTGGAGTCAACATCATTGTGTGTCCGAGCATGTGTTTCCACATGCCACTTGCTCGGTTGGCCTTCGTTGGGCCATGATGCTTGTTGAGAATAATGTTTCGTCGCACACTGAGTTAGTTGGAACGAATCTCCTGCTAGAATCATAATCCACATATGCCCCGACCAGGTAAGTACGTTTGTCCCGGCTTGTCTCTGCCCCGTCACCCACCAACTATGCAATACGAGAAAGAACCTTCTACGGGGACCGGGGAAGGTACATCGTGCCTCCTATGCGCTAGCCCACATACACTGTGGCCCGATCTTCGTTCCATCCTATATTGCCAGCTCCCGCGGTAAGCTCTCCAACTCTCGAAGGCACCCTTGCTACTACCACCTTCGAACGAGCAGAAACGAATGTACCCGCCGCTAGATCGCAGTCGGGTGCATCCCAACACACTATTCAACAGGTAAGTTGCGCCGCGGCTGGACTTATGCCACTTCCATCAACAATATGAGCAGAACACCGTCCGCTTGGATAAGTTTTCAGCGTCGCAGCTCATCTCGAGCTGCTCCGATCGTTTGGAAACGCAAGGACTAAATGAACCTCTCCCTACAAAGCGGGCAGGTTCACCCCCCTTTTTCATAGTCTCTTCCCTCTCACGCAGTCCCTTCTCCTTGTACCACTGAATCCATCGCTCTAATGCCGAATCCGCCTTCACCATGGGATTCACCCACCCCAAGAACCCCCGTTTCGCATCTTATCTCGCTCGAATCCATCGGGGATCGAGCGAGATACCAACTTTTCGCTCCCGTCATCATTCCTCTCCGCCATCTCTCCGCGCACTAACTTCTCTTCCTAACTCCTATTCTATTATTCTATTACTCAAACTAACAGCACATTTGAAGTCCCCGCCCTCCAAAACCTTGGCTTAACATCTTTCCTCGCCCGTTTTCATCAAGAAACGGGCGAGTAGTCTCTTTTCTGCCCCGCCTTCTGAGTAGCTCCGCCATACTCCACTCCTTTGTCCATACCCCGCATGCACCCGTCGCGCCATCCCGTCCCGGTTCATCCCCTGTTTCTCCTGTCCTCGCTTCGCTACTCCGCCTCGACTTCCCCATAGCGCCCGTCAGCCTGCTGCGCTATCCGGCCGGCCCTGCTGCTTGTCGCCTCCGTTGTGCGTCACACCGACCGGCGTCCGATCCGTTCCCCCCGATGCCAGTGCAACACTTCGACAGCGGCCGACCCCACATACAGTCGGGTAGCGCTCAGAGCAGCCCCGACTGTCTCAAGGGCCGGGGAAATGCCAGCTACCAAACGGTTCGGGCCGCCTTTTCCCCCTTTCCTCCAAGTTGAGCCCGCCACCCTTTCGGCCCCGCAGCAAGTAAGTCCCACTCCCGTCTCTCATAACAAGCCGCGGAGCCGGGGCGCGGGCCTTCTATATGCCCAAGCGTGGGCCTTCTATATGCCCAAGCGCGGGCCTTCTATATGCCCAAGCGCGGGCCTTCTATGCGCCCAAGCGCGGGCCCTATATGTGCCCAAGCGCGGGCCTAGTTGAAATGGCCCGACGCAAGTCTTTATGGTAGTAGCAAATATACAAATGAGACCCTTGAGGACCGAAGCGGGAGAAAGTCCCGCGGGTATAATCACACCCAACCCCTCCACCGTGGACTTTCTCCATTTATATGGGCCATTCCGCTCACCGACTCGTATATACGTTGACCTCCTCGGTCCTCGTCCCAAGGCGGGCAGGGCACAAGTATCTTGCCGACCTCACAAACACGCGGAACCCAAACGACCCGTCGAAAGAAACGTACACTTAAGGTCCTTGACTGTCGTGACACCCATTAAGCCCGGCATCGCTTCCAGGCCAACGGCACACCGACGTATAACAAAAATTATTAGGAATACGGCGCTGAAAAGACTTACTTAGAAAGTACCAACCCCGATCGGACGTTGCTGACGACAAAAACCAAAGGGGGATAGCCCCTCAGGGCCCTTGACCCCCTCGGTCCCTTCGCGCCACTCTGATATTCCCGCATCGACACCGCTCGATCTCGATCCCCGAATCTCCCTGATGAAAGTTCGACACCATAACCGCCAGTGCTATGCTCAAGTCTTGGTCTAGTTCCGACATACGCCTAAATTAAGCCAATACAGCGCGACGCGCAGACCTACCGCAAATACTTCAAAACCTCCTCGTCGTTGATGTCGCCCTCTGTACGTACGCATAGGTCATAGGCGAGCACTTCGATCAACGAGACACAATCTTTTTAATCCTAACTTGGTCGAAAAATAAAATAAAAATTATGGTCGGCGATCACGGCGACTCTTCAATCATCAACAAATAAAAAGATCACACGCGCCTTAAACCCTCGCGCTCACACACTCTTTATTCTAGTCAGCCATCAGCCGTATGAGCAACAGAGACTACCGCGACTCGCGTGGTATACTTCAATTTTAAATCAAACTTATTTTTTGTCATTTGCAAAAACCAGGGCGAATACCCTTGTAAGGGTATTCGCACCGACAGCTTACCGGACCATATTAAGCGACGTCCTCGTCGCTTCGTCAGATCGAAAAGCTATAAATCCATCCAAACTCCAAATGCTGACGAGAAAGAAACCAGTCCGATTAGCAGACAGACTCAGGGTGGAGGCCTCCAACAATCCAAGCCCTTATAACTATATGCTGCCAGGGTTCCAACCTGGGTCTCCATTGTCCTGACACTAGGACGCAGGTGTACTGGACATACGTACTACAACATAAGTCTCAGCGGCCCCTCTCAACTGTCCTCTCCCCTTCGTCCTAGACAAATGTCGGCTTCTCGTTAAGTGTCCTTAGTCTCTACCCGACGAGCAGGGCCATAACTAAGGACGTGGGCCCTAACTGAGACCTTAGAAGGCACTCTCGCCTCCCTCCAATAATTCTCACAATCAAACATATATATATAAATCTTATCTCAACACACCTCCTGCAGTCTAGTACAGGAAGGCTAGGTCTCCATCTTGGCCCACCATAGTCTGGGTGATCGTGCCAGATCTACGGCCCACCGCGTTTGTTATTTCACCGGTAGTGCCCTCGCAGGTTGCGCCGCGATAGGCTTTTTCTCCTGATAAGCATTCAATCAGGACTCCAAAAGACTCGACTCTTATCCCACGCCATCCCGCGGCAGGTAAAACCCTCCTGGGTGGCCACACCCCTTTAAGTCTTTACCCCTTCTGGCGAGATGTGGGCCCGCTGTCAGGTTGCGCCGATCAGCAGCCAACACTAGGGGTTGCGCCCCAGTGATGTGATCTCTCTCTCTCTCTCTCTCTCTCTCTCTCTCTCTCTCTCTCTCTCTCTCTCTCTCTCTCTCTCTCTCTCTCTCTCTCTCT